ATTGTTTGATTACTGCGGAGGAAGATTTTACCATGTGACTTGCTATCGACGTCAGCCGATCAGCTCGCCGTAACAGTAATAGTAAGAGGGTCTTCAAATTTCCTGATCGTGATGTTCAAGTGTTCCAATGCTCTGGCTTTGAGGGCTGACCAATGCTCCCCAAACCATTCGTACATGCCTCCTGGGAATTCTGAGGACAGATCAATGATCGACGAAAGGCCAAGACTATGACAGATATCCAATAATTTAGTTTGAATTTATGTTGTGAGTGGCAGAGGGGAAAACATACCGGATAACGCTAAGGGCACATGCATCTCGTTTTTCCGAATGCTTTACTTGCTCTATGGCCTTTGAGGTCATAGAAGATAGCACATCACTATCTTGTCCCCAGTCTCTAACATCGATCCTCCTTTCTCATTGTTCTCTGTGAAGATATTCGACTCAAAGTCGATGCCAATATCATTGCCGTCGTCATCTGAGCTGCATGCTAAAATCCTCCCCATCATCGTCCTCCTCGTGCTCGCTACCAGATGATTTGCATTGTGCAAACGGATCCTCAAATGCTGGGCAAAAAAAAAAAAAAAAAAAAAAAAAAAGGAATGTTGACCACTTAATTCCCCAATCATTTTCAACGTGTCTGAATATTTTCCCTTACCGGCCTATCTTCTGGCAAATTCCTTAATTTTTGCTTGCCACGCACCACAGGAGAAGGCCTTGATACGTTATATGTAGGCCTTGGAGGTGACATCTTTGGTTTAAAAAGCAATTATATTAGACAGGTATCATCACAATGAGCTCATGATAACAGAAACCTCTTGAATTTTTTCTTCCCATACTGTTCAACTGCAGTTCAGAACTTTCTATGCTCTTTGTTACGGAAGCAGACAGCACTTCAGCTTCCTCATCTCTTGGCTAAAATTAAGGATAGAAAGCAAAATAGAGTTATACCGTTTCTGCTCATAAAGTGTGTACATGCATAATGTTTTCTACATTTATACGCACTTGTTTTGGTAAAAACGAACTTGAGACTTCTCGCATAACCACCGAGGAAACGAGTGAGCCATTGGTTTTAGATTCCCTTTCGACATCTCTAATAACTTCGACTTCCTCTTGGTTGTTATGCTCACCTAAAACGTCGTCGCTGTCTTGTGTAACTAAATTCCTGCGTATTTGGGGCTCGTATGTGGTGAGCTGGTCACAATAAGAGGTTAGAAAAATACAATTCAGAAAAAGGTCTCCTACAAACAAGTTAACTTCAGTACTACCCGACCGAAAATGTTAAGGTGCCCTAACGAAGCCATTCGTACTGCAGCTTTTTCTTCTTCCCTCTGCTTTTGCTCTTCATCAATTCTCTTCCAAAATCCAGAAACAGCCACAGACTTTTTCTCTACCTTTAAAGAGAGGAAAATAATAAGTGACAGAAATAAGAGTAAAAAATTACATTTAGGCATTGCGGCTTTATAGATATGGATCCAGACTCATCCGAACCAGAGGATCATCACAAGACCAACCAGAGGATGGCCAGTCATTCATCCGAACCAGAGGATCATCACAACACCAACCAGAGGATGTTCTTGCTTGGATGAAGCTGGCGTGCCGCAAGCCACCAAAGAAGAATATACCTCAAACCTATCTTTGGCAATCAGTGCATTGTCTTTGAAATTACTGTCATTCTCAAAAACCTTTAGATTGTTGAAGTACCAACTGTGTTCAAGATGGCAATTGTTGAAGGAAGCGTGACCTTCTCGCTGTTTAAGGTAATCATAAAGATAGTTGTCACTGGTTTTTTCTAACACGTCCTTGAGGACTGCCATCTGTTCTTGTTTCGCGTCCATGGTTATGGCTTGTTTGATTCGGTGTTCCTCGGAGCCGTTATATCGTGTGACAAAATCCAGGAATTGCTAAGAGACTGCAAGGCAACGAGTGTCAGACAGGCACGAGGTTCTTCGAGCGTAAGGCTTTACTATTACGGCAGTGTAGACCGCATAAAAAAAACCAAACGAACAACAATTGTGCAGCCACCTCGCAATTTTCGCGAATCCCACGGGAAAATTTGTCACGTGGAGATGGATCAGATGATTGTTTTTATTTGCGTAATAGTAAGCGATCAATGAACACGTCAAAGAACAATCGCAAGCTTGCAAGGGAGGGAACAGTGGGCCCCTAGACCTGCCTGCGGCAATAACTGTTGGGCTCGCACAACTATTAATTTTCACCATCCGCCTCGCCGTAACCTCCCTTCTCGTTTTCTATATCAATTTTAAGGCCGTTTTCCGTTCTCCACTGTAGAAACTCCCATGGTACCTTTCCCGAGGTCCTCGATCTCACTCTTAATCTTGCAGTACATTTTGGACAAACTAATATTGTCCAATTTCCTCTTGCATCAAAGAGGTTTTTAAACTCGTTCCAGAGAGTTAAAACGTCTCCATCATACGATTTGGTTGGTTTGGGAAGGCTAGACTTTGATGGTCGTTGCGTGGTCTAACCCAGTTGCAATTACACGAAGATTCTCATTAATATCGTTGAGTTTGTCAAGCACCACATTATGTGCAGCAGTTTGTTGGTGGTTGTAAGGAGGCATGCAATGGTCAAAACCACATGTGAGTTGATCTTGTTGGCAAACACCAAAGCAAGGCAAAGCAAAAAGCACAAAAGCACAAGTGCATAATGATGCAAACCAGTCACGAGTCCCATAAAGCCACAACCGCCCTCCCAACGACAACCTTCGGGGAATTATATTATACGAATTTTAATACAATTGGCTTGTACTGTGATAAAGTGAAATTGGCAAATACAAGGGGGGGGGGGGGGCAAGGATACTAGTTCCGATCCTAAAGATGGAGGTGATGGGGGGGGGGGTGGATATACATATACTTTATGAAAGAAAACAGTTTCTGGCTCAATGTAAAAAACGCAAACGACCAATTGGTAATTATGAATCAATATCTAAAAATATATATTTAAAAACTCGTATTTAAGTTTGACGTTTTTTTAGAACCAGAAGTCGTTCAAAAATTACTGGGTTTACTTGACGAATACCCGCCAGGAACTGTTGCTATTGCGGTTGCTGATCGGTTCTCGAAAGGAGCACGTATTCTGGCTTCAAGATTCAAAGATAAAATAATATTAGCAAAGCCAGATAACATTGTTCAAAAAATTATTGAATACGGTGATCGTCGACGACGTATTAGTAGTGCCTGGGCAATTTCCCTTCCATCTAGGTTGGATGGCATTTTGGACAGGTCTAGAAAGGCGGAGTTTTTATTGTTAGCTAGTGGGATTCTGGTGGATAAGGGGCGAATGTTAGTCAGGTTGCTTTGGGGTGTTAGCCCAAGAGAACACTTCAAAAACGCGTTGGAATGTAGGTTCCTGGACACTAGAGTCAGTATCCATGAGGTTGTCATTGAGTGTTTGGGTTTCCATTGTTAGTAGTAAGAAGGTTAGTATGTAACGGGTATGTTAGTATTCTTTCGTTCAGTATGGTGGTGCAGCAGTACTAGTGTACAGAGGAAAGAATGAACTTCCTTAGTACCATGGCAAACGAATATGTTCGAATCACGTGGAAATGTTCAGGTCAGAACGTCCAAGCTGGAGTTTTGTTGAACAGTAAACAAATCGCGTGCCATATTTGTAAAGATAAACAAATTTTTGTTGTTATCACTAATGTTAGCTA